CTGCCACTTCCTAGTCGCGTGGCTTGGGTGATTCCCGAGCCTCAGGTGGCGGTACACAGTGGGTCATCAGAAACGGGGACAGCCGTGCTGTGCTAGCGTGTCGTCCCTGTCCTAGGGAGCTCCTGTCTGCAGGGGAGACTGAGGCAGAGCCCAGGCAGGGCCGGAGGCTGGAGTGGGCTGCAGCCAGGGCCACTGCTCCTTCCCCATGATCCTCGCCCCAGCCCAGACCTTGGCGGTGCCTGTCCCACCTGCTGGGAGGCCATCTCCCCGGCTCTGCTCTGAGCTCACGCGGCTCACCCCCACGGAAAGCAGGCGACCCTGCGGGGCAATGCAGATCGCGCACTAGCACCTGTCCCGGCGTCCACCGAGAACTGGGTCCTCTGGTGACCGAGGGGCTCCGCAAGGCAGAGCCTGAGCCGCCCTCAGACTGGGAGCTTCCTGTGGGCAGGAGGAGCCGACCCCATCAGGTTTGGTGTCCCAGGGTCAGCAGGGAAGGATGCCTTCTCCCTCACACTGGAAGAGGGGCTCCCTGAAGGCAGTGCGGTGTCTTCTCTGCCAGACTAGGAGGTCCCCGGAGGCAGGAGAGCGCTGCCCCCGCACCCCCCGATATCGTGCTGCAGGGCAAGAATCCGACCTTCCCCACAGGACTCCCGAGGGGCAGGGAGCTGGTGCCTCCCTGCTATCTTCCCTCTCCCCTTCCTCCCCTGCCGGCAGATCAACACCAACCTGGGTGACGTGCAGTTCCTGGCCATCGACCTGGTCATCACCACCACGGTGGCCGTGCTCATGAGCCGCACGGGGCCGGCGCTGGTGCTGGGGCGGGCGCGGCCCCCGGGGGCCCTGCTCAGCGTCCCCGTGCTGAGCAGCCTGCTGCTGCAGGTGACCCTGGTGGCCGGCGTGCAGCTGGGGGGCTACTTCCTGACCGTGGCCCAACCCTGGTGAGTAGGGAGCCCAGCTCCCAAATCCCACCCCTGCCCCATCCTCCGCACACTCGTTCCCTGAGCCCCGGTCTTCGCGCCCCCAGGTTCGTGCCTCTGAACAAGACCGTGCCCGCGCCAGACAACCTGCCCAACTATGAGAACACAGTGGTCTTCTCTCTGTCCAGCTTCCAGTACCTCATCCTGGCTGCAGCCGTGTCCAAGGGGGCGCCCTTCCGCCGGCCAATCTATACCAATGGTGCCACTGCCTGGCAGGGCTGGTGTGGGTGGAGGAGGGACAGGCTGTGGGGGTCTGGTGCCTCTGGGGCGGTCCCCCACTGGGCATGCGTGGGAGGGGGCAGGGCTCCCTGGCCTGATGCACGCCCTCACCCCCAGTGCCCTTCCTGGTGGCCCTGGCGCTCTTGGGCTCCATCCTGGTGGGCCTGCTCCTGGTCCCTGGCCCCCTGCAAGGTCCACTGGCGCTGAGGACCATCGCTGACACCTGCTTCAAGCTGCTGCTCTTGGGCCTGGTGGCCTTCAACCTCGTGGGGGCCTTCATGCTGGAGGTGGGGCTCATCCTGGGCTGGGGGTGGAGGCGGGGCTCTGGGGCTGGGCCGCAGCCGCCGCTCTGCACCCTCCCTGTCCTCTGCAGAGCGTGTTGGACCGGTGCCTCCCGGCCTGCCTGCGGCGCCTCCGGCCCAGAAGGGCCTCGAAGAAGCGTTTCAAGCAGCTGGAGCGGGAGCTGGCCGAGCAGCCCTGGCTGCCGCCCGCTGCACCAATGAGGTAGTGCAGGCCCCTCGGGCCCCCGGACACTGGCTCTCCCTGCCTCTGAGCCACCGCCTGGCACCCATCGCCGGAGACACCACCGCCCTCCTGCCCGTAGCCTGGAGGTGGGCAGATGTCATGTACTCCTGCCCCGAGGCCGCCCGGCCCAGCCTGCCCGGCCCTCAGCTGGGGAGCGGCTGTTGCTGTCCCCTATTCAGACATCCCGTGTAGAGACGACAGCCACCAACCCCCCTCGGAGCCGCTGTCAGTGCAGCAAATAAAGTCGTAATATTTTCCTGGGCAGCCTGTCTCCCACGTGGTACCGCTGACCGGGTGCCTGGGGGGTGGCCCCCGGCGTGTGTCTGCTCCTGGCACCCCTGGTTTTTCAGATCACATTGGGCAACTCCCCTCTTAGGGCCTCGGTGTCTTCATCTGACAGTAATGATGTTTTCGGGTTGAGCACGGGCTTCATGCCCCGTTAACACCTCGTGTGTGTCTTCATTCAATCCTCATCACTGTAGAGTCAGTCTTATCCCCATTTTACAGATACAGAAACTGAGGCTTAGAGGCCACACACTTAAGAGGTGGGGCCAGATCGCTCGGACTCCAGCATCCACGCTCTTCCTTCCTACCATCCTGTGCAGGCAGCAAGAGAAGGGCCATGCCTCCCACGAGTGCCAGAGCCTCTGAGACTTTTAACGGGGTCAGTTCCCTTCTGCCCCCCATGCCCATGCCCCCCGGGACAAGTTTGTGATCCAGCTCCCCTCTCGGATGAAAGTCCAGGCTGTGAGCCCACGTCTCCCAGCCCGAACCACATGCCCTGACCCCGGGGGAAGGGTGGGTGCTGCTGACCTCATCCCACCAATGGGACACTGGCCAAGCCCTACTCTGGAGAGGCAACTCGGTCATCTGGCCCGTCGGTGCCGGGCAGGAGGGAGCAGGAAAGAGAGACGGCTTCCTGCCCTCCGGAAGCCCCCGCCGACCTCATTACTGGAAGCCCCGGCGCCAAACCCGGCCTGCCTTCGCAGGAGCTCAGTAAATGTGGACTCAAAACTGCGGGGAAGGGATGTGGGGCGTGAAAAAGCAATTTATACTACGAGGCGCGTCCACAGACCTTCTGCACTGGGCACGGCGTCATCAACCAGCAGTAGTTCAGGGTGGCAGGTGCTGGGCAAGGGGAGGCTGGAGGACACCGGGTTCGAATCCCTCCTCTACCCTTCGCTGATTGACTCATGCGGGTATTGGGCAGTCATGTGCCAGGTACAGGTGCTGCGCGGTATACAAGAAACTTGGCCTCTGCCTGTGGACAACTTGTAACCTGGTGGGAGAGGCGAGCAGGGAAGAAGCGAATCTCCAAGGCCGTCTTCTCCCGACGGCCTTGGAGACCCACACCCACTACCCCCTCCCTGCGTAGCTGCCACCTCTGCTTGGGTCCTTAGGGCCAGGGGAGGGGGTGGCAGCAGCAGAGAGGGTCTGGGGGCCGGGACAAGAGTGGGAAGCTTTGGGGCCTCCGTTTCCCCCTTTTGTCATGAGTATAGGGGATAGCCTTTCTGCCAGGTGGTGTCCCCTCCTACCCTAGTGGGATTGTGGCTGGCAGCAGCCAAGGGCTAAGGGAGGGCAGAGAGGGCTGTGCTGGCCCCGGGCGCCCACAGGGCTCCAGGGAACGGAAGTCCCTGCTGTTTTGTGATAGACCCTGGAGAGCGGGTGGCGGATATTCATTCATTCATTCCTTTGACGAACCAGCACCAGGGAACAAAGGATGCATGGGACATACGGAGTTTCTGCCTAATAGGATTCAGAGTTTAAGGGATAGGCAGTTGTGGGGTGCACGACTGGGGGCAAGGAGATCCCCATGTCCTCCTAGCCAGAGCTGCTGCCTCAGGCATGGGCTCCCCTGACCAGGCAGCGTGGAGGTCTGCCCCGGAGGCAGGGACCAACACCCCCCACCCAGCCAGTCTCTCCCAGGAGAATTGAGTGCATATTCATTCATTCCATTAATGTTTACTGCACAGCTGCTCGAGCCTGGCACTGTGCCTAATGAGCCTAAACGGGGGATGAGCAAACACAGACTTTGTCACCGTCTTCATGTAGCTCCCAAGCTCACGTGGGAGAGGAGCAGGATTCAAATGGGCACAGACATAGGGCAACGGGAGAGCTGTGAGCTGCAGAGCAGAAGGTGCTTAGGGGCAGAACAGGGAGAAAGGGAAGGCTCCTCTGAGGAAGGGAGGGTTTGGTCTATCACCTGAAGGAGGCGGACCTCATCGGTGTTGCAGGAGGAAGAAGCAGCTTGAGCAACAGTCCTGTGGCAGCAGAGGAAAGGGCTTAGTGAGAGACTGCCAAAAGGCCATGTGGCTGCTGGGAGATCAGGCAGGGAATGAGGAGGCAGAGCCAGACCAAGATGAAGGGTGGGGTCCTGCGGGGGGGCGGGGGGTCACAGGCGAGTTTAGCTTTTTTCCCAGGTACCATGGGAAGCCAGCAAAAGGCTTTAAGTAGAAGGGGGCCAGCGTCTGAGGGGGTCAGGGAGGGCAGAGCCCACTTGGGAAGGCCTAGATTAAAGGTTATTAGAGAGTCCAGGCAAGAGCTGATGGTGGCTTACACCACAGCAGGGGCAGTGCCCAGACTCAAAAAATATCTGTGAAGCAGGATTAGTGGCTGGGTGCTGGGCTGGGTGCAGGGGCGGAGAGCAAGGGAGGAAGCCTGAGGGATGGAAGGATGCTGGTACCGCTGCCCAGATGGGGAGCCCTCCGGGAGCCAGTCAGGAGGCATGAACTTGGACTTGGATCCTTGTTGCCTTGGGGACATTCTTGGGGCCAGGCCTGGTAGCCTGTGGTGCACCCGCGGACAGCAGTGCTGGTTCTGGAAGCCAGCCCCCACCTGGAGCTGGCTAGGGAGACCCAGAAGGCACAGCCAGAGGGGCAGGAGGGAAAAGCAGGTCAGAAAGGCTGTCCTGGAAGCTAAGAGAAGCCAGAGGGGAGACAGCTGCGTGGCCGTGGGCGAATCCCCTTTAGGGGACTCGGTTTCTTTCTCTGTGAAATGGGGTAACACGTCCTCCAAAACCCACCTCACACCAGACCGCAGCCCAGACGTGGCGAGGAGACGGGGCAGGCGTTCTGCCCGCCTGAGGTCTGCGCGCCGATGTGATCGGCCTCCCCCAGGGCCGCCCCAGAAGCGGGCTGGAGCCCCGCGGGCGCGGCGGACGGGCGGGGCGGAGCTCGCGTTAGGACCCAGCGGCTTCGGGGCTGGAGGGCGGGCGCCGACCCGTCGGGGGCCCGGAGGGGGGCTCGGAGCGGGCGGAGGGGCGGCTCCGCGGGCGGACTCGGAGCGGGCGGCGGAGTGACCCGACCAGGTAGGCGCGGGCCTGGCGGCCGGAGCGGCAGGGGCCGCTAAGGGGCCCCGGGGGGGTGGAGGGGCCTGGGGTGCGGGCCTCCGCGGGCCCCCGGGCCTGGGGAAGGCTGCCGGGCTTTCTGAACCCCGGGGCCGTCTGAGCAGATGCTAAGAGGGCACTTGGGGGCTTTGGAGTCGCTTGGAGGGGGCCCCGAGTTTGGAGGAGTTTGGGGGAGCCCGAGTTGGGGCGTCGGGGCGCGGGGGGGCTCTCGTTCGCCCCGGGAGGCTGAGCTGCCGCGGGTGGGGTGGGGGCGTCGGCGGGAGCAGGCGGGCCACAGCCGCGGAGAGACAAAGGGACGGCCGGGACCGGGAGGGCGCGGGGAGCCACCGAGCGATCTCAAGGCTGATTGTTCCCAGCTGTGCGCCGCCACATCTGGTCTCCCCCCGCCGCTCCGCAGCCGGCGCCCCCCACCCCCCGGAGCGTGGGGTCCGGGGCTCTGAGTAGGCCCGACTTACCCACTCCTTACCACGATCGCTTGGGGTGAGGTCCCCAGCTGTGGAAGGGGCCAGAAGGGGGCCGCCTCCTAGGCAGGTCCCGGCCTCCCCACACCCCAAAATCCATAGTCTAGACAGAGGTGCTTGGAGATGTGGTCCCCCCCCCGGGAGGATCCGTTAACTCCCACACCCCTTGCCCTGGGAGCCCCTTCCCCCAATAAGCCTGGGCCTGGGTGCCAGACCTTCCTGGTGAGGAAGACTCCATTTAGGAGGCTGAGAGGCCTAGGAAGGGTTTGGGGGACAGACAGCTCCCACCCCACTTCTTAAGACTCCTTAGGCCCCACCTCAGGGCCTCCTCCTGAATGGTGACAGCTCCAACTGGCCTGGCTGCCACCAGCCCATGGGGACAAGGAAGGGATAGTGAGGCCTTGTGGGGAGTTACGAGGAAAGCGCTCCAGGTCTTTCGGTCCCTCCTATCATGAGAAGGCCAAGGGTTTTCAGAATGGGACTGTGGGGAGCCAGATGTGCCCTGCCTCTGGGGCAGCTTGAGTCATGGGTCTCATCTCCTCCACCCCACCCCACCCCAGTAAAGAAGGGAGGTGGTGAATGTATGAGCCAGGCGCCGGGTCGGGGAAAGCTCAGGATTGGGAGGGAAGAGGGCCCGCTGCCCGATGCCCACGTTTCCTTCCCCTCTCCCTAGACGCCCGGGGGCAGTTAGGGGTCCAGTTAGCTGTCTGCAAGAACTCCCTTCGCTGTGGTAGGAGGGGCCCTCCTGGATGGGCCCTGGACTCTCTCCCAGCACTGTCGGCAGGAGGATGACAGTCCGGAGACTGCCTCCCACTGAGCCGGGACTGCACACGGGGACCCGTAGACCCGGCCAAGCCCACGGTGTGGCCAAAGACTGCAGTTCTTGAACTTCAAGAGCCTGGTGAAGGCTAAGGACCACTGTTCCCTCCCCGCAAAATGACCCGTGCAACACTTGTCATACAGTGTCAGGGGGCTCAGAACCCCTGGGCTGGGTGACATCACAGTCCCTCCAGCACTGCCCTTCTAGGATCCAGAGAAACTCTCCTCAGACTCCACCCTAAGTGTTTCCTGCCGCTGCAGACAAATAGACCTTAGTCTCGTGAGTCCGTGATGAAGACAGCCAGGTCTTAGGAGGCCTGGAGGCCTGGCAGGAGAAGAATCTTCTGGGGGTGGGAGCCCTGCCCAGGCCTGGCTGCCCTTCGGCCCCTGGGGCCCATGCATGCATGTGGTTTCCTGCAGAGCAAGACACTCAGGGCCCGGGGGCTAATTGGGAACAGGTTGTGGGTTTGGCAGCCGCTGCACAGTCCCGGCTGTGATGGTGGCTGAGCGGGGCCGGGGTCCTGAGGATGGGCTTGGGGTCAGGGGTTCACATGATCAGTGCATGAGACACCAGAAGGCGCTGAGTCAGAAGGCGGGCATGACTGTGGGCTGGGAGAGTGGAGTCAAGACTAGTGGGGGGCTAGAAAGGCCCCCTTAGTGAGAAAGGCAGGGTGGGTTCTGTCCGTTTGCTAGATCAACCCTGCAGCAAGGTTGGAGGCCTTGTCCCTTGGGACCTGAACACCCGGTGGGCCACAGGGGACAGCAGATGTCCCTCCAAAGTAGCTCCCCCCACCCCGCCCCGCCCGACTCCTGGCCCTCCCTATGCCTGCCTTCCATTCCCAGCGCCTCCTTCTCTGGGCTAGATGCAGGGGAGCGGAGGTGGGCTCCGCAGTCCTGGGTGAGTGGGCCTGAGCTACAGCTTGCCCCTCCTCTTCCTCCAGCTGTCCTGACACCAGCCCAGACTGCCTCACCTCTTAGCCATGAGAGCTGCCTACCTCTTCCTGCTGTTCCTGCCTGGTAAGTGCTCCTGGGGCTGCGGGGCTCCCCCCGCTGTGGGCGGAGGTTGGGAGCTGGCAGTGAGCCTTTATTGGGCCCTGTGGCCAGAACTCAGCTTCCCGGGTCACAGGGCCTCCGGTCTCCTGGACCACAGAGTGGACTGACCAACCCCTCCCGAAGTTGGAGGCACCTCCCAGGCCCTCATCCCAACCCCCGACTGAAGCAGCCAGGCTGGGGCTCTGGAGAGTGGGCATACACCCAGGCACTGGGAGCCCATGCTTTTCCTCTAAAGTACTGACCCTCCTGGGAGCCGATGTGTAGGAGCGAGAGCTACGCAAGGCAGGGAGTCTCTAAGTCTGGGTTCTAGGCCCATTTGGGACCCAACCACCCTATATAACTTTGACCGTGGAGTGATCCCTATTGGTCAAATAGGAGTTATCAGTGGCGATCAAAGGCCCTGCCAGGTCTAACATTTATTAATTTAACAGATATTTGTTGAGCTCCTACTATGTGCCAGGCACCGGCCTAGACTCTGGGGATACAGTGATGAACCGGGCAGACACATCCCTGCCTTCGTTGCTGCCCGTCTAGGGAAGGGCAGCTGACACATCAAGTCCGTGTGATAAATGTCAGTGTGTCGAGTGCTATGATGGAAACAGAAGAATGGGATGGAGAGGGTGGACGGGTCAGTGAGGGCCTCTTGGCAGGACTGAGTTTTTAGTTGAGACCCGAAGGAGGAGAAGTTAACCAAGATTACAGGCCTAGGGAAAGTCAAGTGCAAAGGCCCTGGGGCAGACAGGAGTGTGCCGAGTTCCAGGAATAGCCGGGAAGCTAGCCTGGGGATGCCAGGCCAAAAACGGTCAGTGAGGTGACACAGGAGCGAGCGTAAGGACCTTCGTGCTTGAGGAAGGAGTTTGGATCCCTTGGATCTAAGAGTCTAGTTGTAGAATCTTAGCGTCTTGCCAGCCCGCCCTTGGGACCTCTACTCATCCTCCCCAGCTGTGCCTCGGGGCCCCTGCTGTCCTTCCCTGCAGGGCACCCCCTCATACTTTGCTTCCTCGCAGCAGGCCTGCTGGCTCAGGGCCAATTTGACCTAGACCAACTGCCCCCGTTCCCAGACCACGTCCAGTACACCCACTACAGTGACCAGATAGGTAAGGGCCTTGCCCCGCCCAGGTCTCCCCACACCCTGCTGGGTGTGCCTGACTCAGCTGGGGACCCGGTGGGAAGGGAGGGGGGAGTCCTAGGGGGTGGTCCTGGGTTTAGCCGTGACCTCCTTGGCCCCTGGGACTGAAAGGTCCCCCGACCCCCCCCAAATTCTATATTCATCTTTGTTCTCAGACAACCCGGACTACTATGATTATCAAGGTAAAGGGCCGGGGCAGGGCAGGGCAGGTGGGTGGGCAGCTGGGTGTGGGGGTGGAGAGAATGGAGCGGACCCCCTGATCGTGCCCCGTCTCAGAGGTGACTCCTCGGCCCCCCGCGGAGCAGTTCCAGTTCCAGTCCCAGCAGCAAGTCCAACAGGAAGTCATCGCGGCCCCCACCATAGGTAGGCTACCAGCTCCTGACGGCTCTGGGAGCGGCGGGTCTGTGCCAGGGTGGGGCAGCTGCTCGGAATGGACCCCCCTCAGTGATCTCTGCCTGCCCCTCTCCCAACACCAGCTCCAGGAAATGTGGAGACAGAGCCCACGGAGCCCGGGCCTCTGGGTAAGAGCTTCCCTGACAGCTGGAGAAACAGAGGCACGGCCCCAGGAGTTGGGGTAGAGTGGGGTGCGGCGCTGGTGGGACGGGGACAGACGAGCCTTTGGCTTTGGCTGGGTAGATGGTAGGGTCAGCGGCTTGCAGACATGCCCCTGCTTTAGGCCAGCAACTCCAGGGCCCCTCGGGCTCTGGGGGACCCCCTTGCCCCCGGGCTTGGCTGCAGGCTCAGGAGGGGCCCTCAACCCCCAGACACTGGAAGAGCGGGGGGAGCGTGCAGGGGGCTTCCTGCCTGCCAGCCAGCAGGCCCAGCTGGTGCCCGGGGTGGGTGAGGCCAAGAGTGAGCCCCTGTGCTGCCCCCACGAGCCTGCGGGAGCCGGACCGTGAGGGCTGCTCTCGTGAGCTCAGTGTTAGGGTGTGGTCCTGTGTGCACAGCCCCGCCCGTGTGGTTGGTGTGGACTTCTGTGACCATGTGAGTGTGGGCGTGTTTGAGCTTATGCGTGTCCTAATCTATGCTTCCAAGTGTGGTTGCTGCTCTGTGCGCATATACAGTGTACAAAATCGGGCAGCCCCCAGAGGCCCGGCGAGGCTGGCTGTGCACCTGTGCGTGCCCGTGTGCGTGTGTGCCCCGGGCTGGAGGGTGCAGGGTGGACCTAGGCCCTGCTAGGAGGGCCAATCTTGGTGGGCAACGTTGGGGGCTTCCCCCGCAGCTCGGGGCCCCACACTGCAGCCCCCCCGTCTGATCCTGCCCATCCCCTAGACTGCCGTGAGGAACAGTACCCGTGCACCCGCCTCTACTCCATCCACAAGCCTTGCAAACAGTGTCTCAATGAGGTCTGCTTCTACAGGTGAGCACAGGCAGGGCGGGGGGCGGGGGGGGGGTGCAGCAGGGGCGCAGGGCGGGCAGCAGTGCCCAGCCGAGGTGGGACTTGAGGGAAGCACAGATCCTGAAGTTGCGCCCAGACGTAGGGGTCGGGATGCTTGGGCTCCCCCGGTGGGGCTGGGTGAGGGGAGGGTGACGCCACCGGCCCGGCTCCGTATCCCCAGCCTCCGCCGCATGTACGTGGTCAACAAGGAGATCTGTGTCCGCACGGTCTGTGCCCATGAGGAGCTCCTTCGAGGTAGGAAGGCCTGCACCCCTAGACCCCTCCCCGTCCCCCACCCTCCCACCTGCTGGTGATTAAGCATGTGTTCTGCACCAGGGCCACTTCCGGGGGGGATCCTGAGCCCCCTCCTGGCTGCTTAGCCTCGGAACAGTCCCTGCCACAGGGTGGAGAAGGGGCCAGTGGTTTTCCATCACCCGGCCCCACCCTGACCCCAGCTCCTTGCCCCCACCGCAGCTGACCTGTGTCGGGACAAGTTCTCCAAATGTGGCGTCATGGCCAGCAGTGGCCTGTGTCAATCCGTGGCGGCCTCCTGTGCCAGGAGCTGCGGGGGCTGCTAGGGCGGAGCTGGTACCACCCCCCCCCACCCCCGCCCTGGACCTTCCTCGGATCCGGGGCCCTCAGGCCCTGCCTGACCTGGTGCTTTTCTCCCCAGCCTGACAACCCTTTTATTCTGTAAAAAGCTAGTGGACTGTGGCCCTGGGGGTTCGTTTCAGGCCCCTCTCCCAGCCTGCAGACACCCCTGGGGCACAAGGGGGGCTCCCCACTCCCCACTCTTCGCCCCCGGATGAGGGGCCTCCCAGGCCTCTGGGTGGGACCTGGGCCTCTGATGTGCCTTCTCAGTCCCTCTGAGGACAGTCCCCTGGCCCAAGGTAGGCTATGCCCCTCACCCCAGCTGGTCTGCTTGGATTTCCTACAGCTCCCGGGCATAGACCACCTTTGTTTTATATAAAATTAAAATTGTTTTTACAAAAGATTCAGTCATTTTTTGGTTGGGAGCCAGAGCGGTGGCCAGCTGCCTCCGACACTGCTTGTCTTCACTGAGAGGTTGCCTGGGGCCCTGGGGAGAAGGGACTGTTCAGGTGACCTGTGGCCTTGCCTCTGCAGTCCCAGTCCTGCCGCCTCACCCACCGGCTTCAGCGGACCCACCCAGAAAGATGGACTGCGACAACTTTCCTCCCAGGGTCTGTGGGGGCACGGCGGGGGGAAGACAGCTTCCTCATTGTTCAGGCTGCTTGGTGAAGGCATGAGTTCCCTGTCATCAGAGGGGTACAAGGGGTATAAGCCAAGACGGGAGGCCGCCCACATGGAGGCATAAAGATGCATATAGGGTATAAAGCAGGAAGTCAAGGTAGGTGGACTCAGATCCACCTTTGGGGGAAGGCTGGCGGTTCAGAGGGCAGAAACAGGGCAAGGCATTAGAATGCCTCCCTCTGACCGGCTCGTGAGGACCAGGCTCCCCGTGCGTGGCCAGCACCCCCTTCCCAACGGGCCTGGGACTATCTCCGTCTTACAGACAGGACACCCAGGGACAGCAGGTGACCCACCAAGGGTCCACAGCTAGAGGTAGCAGAGCTGGGGCAGAACCTGACTCCACTGGACTCCAGGGAGGAGAGGAATTTCTCCTCGCAAACACAGAGCACCTTGCACCAGTACCTCCTCATAACCGCCCTGTGAGGCGCGTCCGCATCTTACACACGAGCAAACTGAGCCTCGGAGAAGTGCAGCTTTGCCGGGCTCACTGGGCAGAGCCAAGACAAGACCCCAGGGTCACTCCCGGGCCTGGGACTGCCACTGTCCAGAGGGGGGGGGCCCCGTCCTGAGGAGGGGCCGGAGAGCTGTAGCTGGAAGGAGTCGAGCTGTGCAGTTTGGGTCACGGCCCCATCTGTTACCTGGGACGGGTGGCACAGGAGCCTGGGGCCCTCCCCGCGCCAACATCCTGTGAGGCTGGGAAGTGGCACAGCCCTTCTCAAGCCCCACCCACCCACCCCCGTGCACCCCTGGCCAGGGGGGCCTCATCCCTCCCGGCCTAGGCCCCAGTGTCTCCCCCCACCATCTCTCAGGTGCAGAAGTGAAGAGACATGTCTGTACAAACCGTTTTTAGAAAATGAGGTCTCCTTGCTACAAAAAACAGTTTTGAACCGTTAACACTGAAAAAGGTATAAAAATACAGGGGCTCTGAGGAATTTCCTGACACTCTGAACTAAGGCAAAGAGAGCTCTGGAAAGCTGGGGGAAGGCCTGGGTCTCTGACTCCCAGGCTCCCTTCCTCTTTCCTGTGAGCCCATGCTCCAGGGCCAGCCAGAGGCAAGGGGGCCTCCGTGACCCCCAGCTTCGGCTCAGCCACTCAGGGAGGCTCTCATGGGACCTGGAGGCTCATCCCAGGGGAGGGACCGGACCGAGGTGGGACCCACAGATGATGCCAAGAAGCTGCTGCTGGAGTCCCCAGCCCTCAGCCCTCGGTGCTGCCACCTGGCTCCTCCCCACCCCCAGCCGAGTTCTGGTGGCCCAGACAGGCCAGGGCTGGGGCAGACCGCGTGGACAGACGGCTGCCGGCCTGCCCTGGCCAGGGCTGCTCTCCAGGATGCCCACCAGGAAGGGGCTCATTCCCCTGTGGGGCCAGACATGGGGGAGAAGGATGCTGAGCTCCTCCGAAGCTCCTGTTGCAACTGTCCCTTCAGCGTGGACACCTGGAGAAGAAAGAGAAGGTGGGGCCAGCCCGGCCAGCCCAAGCCCCCTGCCTGATGTCAGAGAAACAGGGGTGGCTGCAGCTGGGGCCCCACAGGGGACCCGATCCTGCCTGTTTCAGGAAAAAGTGCGTCTCATGAAGCACCAGGATGCTTCCCTCCCCTCCCATTCCATCTCACAGGGCAGCTGGTTGTCTTCTGACGGCTCCTCGGCATCTCTTCAGGGGCCACCTGTCCCCACTCTCATTATTTAAGTAGGCCTGGCACTAGCCCGACTGGGGGGACCCATGACCCAGGCCTGGCCTACCCATGCACAGGTCAGGGATCTGGGATCCAAGCTGGCCAGTAAGGATCATCCCTGGGACTTCTACTATTGCTCTCAGGAGAAAAAGGCCCCTGTTCCTCTAGGATGGTGGGCTGCTGGGATAACCTAGGCTGGGGCTGCTCAGGCCATCTGTGCCACCCAGGGGACAGCCATGAGGATGGAGTTCCAATGACATCACTTGAGCCCATGTCCGGACCATTTCAGTCACGGGTGCCGCTGACTGCTTCTACCCAGGGTCGCGGCCCTCCTCTGCCGCTCCCCCCATGTTTCCACATCCTGCGGAGGGGCCTGGGTACCTGCTCCTCCAGCCCGAGCACCCGCTGCCGGTGGGCCCGCTCCCGCGCCTCCAGCGTGCGCTCTGTCTGCACCTGGGCCTGCAGGAGGGGCGGCTAGTCAGGGGTCTGGCCCTGTGTGTGTGTGTGTGTGTGCGTGCGCGCGTGCAAGGGGGTGTGGGGCGCCTCCCAGGAGCCTAAAGGCCCCTCAGGGCAAAGTCAGTGCAGACAGGGGGTACAGGAGAGATCCCTGTTTGTCCCCCACATCCCTGGCCCACCTGGTCTGCGAAGCCTGGGTCAGGGTACCTAGTGAGCCCCACTGACAGGCATGCACACACGCACAGACGTGTTCAAACACAGACAGGCCCCCCCCACACAGGCACAAAAGCAAGCACGTAAATACTTACCGGGTTCACATGGATGCATGCATATGTGCAAAAGCCCAACACTCCTACATACATCTACATACAGGAAGACATCTGTACAGAAAGACACACGCACGTAAAACACATTCCTAATACTTCGACTTGCCACGTCTGTGCACAAGACTCATGGTACACGCACGAGAATACTCCCAGGCACACTCACACCTCTGTGTGCCCACAGCCTACACGCACACAGGCTCACATGCTGACTGGCATCTCTTTTCTCTCCACGCTGGGGAGGACCCCTCCCTCTGGGACCTGGCTCTGGGCTGCCCCCTCCAAGGGTCCGGACTCATGGGTTATGGAGGCTGAGGAGCCTGGGCTGGCTGAGCCATCAGCAACTCCCGGGACGGCTCGGCACTCAGGCCGAGGGCAGGGGCGGGAGGTGGGGGTCCGGGTCCAGGGCTCGGGAGAGAGAGGGTAGCCGGGGGCTGGACCTCCAGCAGCTGGATCTGCCTCTGGGCCTCAGCCAGCTCCACCTCGGCCCCCGTGAGCGTGCGGTCCAGGCGGCCCCTCTCGGCATTCAGCCGCACTGTGTCCTCGTGGCTGCGAAGCTTCTCGCGCTCCACCTAGGCAGGGAGAGCAGGAGGGCAGCAGGAGGCCCCGGGAAGGAGGGAGGTCCCGCCAAGAGGGAGGGGCTCAGGGAGGGGTGTCAGGTTAGAGGCAGCAAGACCGGTGGGCCAGGGGGCACCCGAGGCCCCAGACCCCGGGGACACGTGGCCAAAGGGGACACGTGGCCAAAGGCAACCGCGGCTAGGACCCAGAGGAACGGAGGGGAGGGCCCTGGAGGCTCAGCCCACCTTGTCCAGCATCCTCCTGAGGGCCGCCCGGTCCTTCTCCAGCCGCAGCGCTGACCGCTCCACCTCCCGCTTCTCGGTCTCCAGCTGGGCGAGCTCGCCCTGCAGGCTGTCCAGGCGCTCCTGCAGCAGCCGCCGCTCGTCGCGCAGCTTCTGGACCGTGTGCAGGGCCGCAGCCTCACCCTCCTGGCGCTGCCGCAGCACCTGCAGAAGCCAGCAAGCCCCTAGCGCCGCTGGCCCTTGGCTCGGCAGGGCGGCTGGGAGGCCCACGGCAGACAACTATCACTTGAGGCCGCCTCTCTGGGCCTCGGCTTCTCCGTCTGTGTAATGGGCGTGCGGGCTGAAGGAACCAGGCTTCCCCAGGGGAGGCTGGGCCTGGGTCTGAGACGAGGCTGGGATAAGGAAAGTCCCACCCCATCCGGAGGGCCTCAGCGTCCTAGGGACAGAAGGGGCCCATCCCGGCCTCACCTCCTGAAGCTGTTGTAGCCGGCCCTCCGCCTCCGCCCGCTGCAGCTCCAGGTCCGCCAGCTCGCCCCGCATCGTCTGCACCTGCTCGCCCAGGGAGCTGCTCTGCTTCCGTGCCTCGGATAACGCCTGCCGAGCAGCCTCCAGCCGTTCCTGGGGGACGGGGGCTGATGGGGCCAGGATGGAGCAAAGGCTCCCCTCTCCTCTGTACCTCCGGGTCAGGGTCACAGCCCATAAAACAGCTCAAAAATCTTATCTGGAGGGCGAGGCAGACAGCAGGCCTGGCCCACTGACCTACATAAGGTGGGGACCCCTCAGACCCCAACTCTGTCCCATCAACCCTGCCTCTGGGTGTCTGTAAGCCTCTATGAGTAGACTTATTCTCTTATTGCTCCCCCAAATCTCCTCTTATTGGCCAATGCTTTTTTTGCCCCCCCCAACCTCCAAGCCTCACCGACTGGCTCCCTAGGGTTCCCGACTGATGGCTCCAGGGGCTGGCACTCTATCAGGGCCCCTCAAAGCCTGCCCTTGGCGGCTCTCTCACCGAGCCCACCCCGAGCCAGGCCCCAGAATCCATACTTGCAGCACTTGGCGGTCATGTTCGCAGGCGGTGAGGGCCTTCTGCAGGTGCAGATTCTTGTCCTGGGTGCTGGTAAGGCTGGCACTATTCTGGGCCAGGGCTTCGGTCAGGCCCTGCACCTTGTCCCGCAAGGCGCCCTCACTCTCTTCCACCTTGACCAGGGCCCCA